TAAACTCAATTGAATATATTCATGAAGAAATTGTCATGATGTACACAGGGAAGGATGACAGTAGATCTTTGACCTGATATTCAAACTAATGTCAGGAAATTCACATTTTTAATATGTTCTTGAACCAAACAGAAAACATCACTTCTTGAAATAGAAAAAAACTACACAATCATATTTAAACCATTTATTTTCATCGACGAAGATTTAAATATCTTGAGATGTAATTCATTTCAGTTGAGAATAGCAGTTTCAAAAGAAATTGGCCTAGTCTTTTCATCATGTCACCTTACACTTTTCACAAAACGTCCCAAATAGTTTTTGAATTATCATATTCAATTTCACCACAAATCATTAGTATAAAGTCTCTTGTGAAATGAAAATAAAGTCCATTTCCGCATCACTCACTCTGAATATAACACATTTTACATTTTTTTGTCTACAAAAATCCTATGACACGGCTATAAACAAACTAATGAGACCGTGCATTAAAATGAAATCCGTAGAAAAGGCGAAACCTACACAATCTCAGATTACAATTTGTCTACTGTGGAAATGTGCTTGTGACAAATTCAATAGATCTCTCAAACTCACAAAAGTTTGTAAAAGTATTCCTACCCCCTCTTCAATTTCGAGCCTTACTCAAACAGCTGATCAGCCTTCTTTAAATTTTACAACTCAATAAAGCGTTTCAAGCTCATAAAAACATTCAAAAGGGGGTAACGAAATTCCTCCACAACAGTACAGTTCCTTGTGAAAGTCTGGCTAATTTTCAATATAACCAGTCTGAAAAAATCAACTAAGCAACTTTCTTTTACAAATTAACTTAATGCAACCGTTGCATTCAAGTCGGTAGCAATAACAATAGTAGCTTTTTTTCTCACAATACACATAATTAATACTAGTGTACTACATTACGGGTTACTTAACGTCAAGAAATACGATAATTTACACGAAGATGTGTGGGGAGTATTCTAATGAAAAACTTACTCCTCCATTTTAGTCATTGAAGAGACAGCACCAGAAATTAATATAATAATAAATATACTATATTCTACTCTGAACAATAAAAAAGTTTCTGAACATAAATTTCTCTTCAGATTTTTGTTTTCTCATATGTACTTTGATATCATACATGCGATTGAATAGTTTAGTACTTAAAGTAAAATTATTTAAAAATTTAATCTTTTGCCGCAGTTTCTTCCTTAATGTTATCCTTAACCTTGTCTGAAGGGGCGCTCACTGCGCTTCCTGTGTTAGAGCCCAAATTGGACTTTGTGGTACACACTGAATTACCACTGCCCAATCCGCTGCCATCATTCATCTTCCTGTCATCTGACTTATCATTATGACCAGTCATTGAATGATCTGAAAAGAAACATTAATTAATAATTTTACATAAAATAAATACTGTTAAGATATTAATTATATTTTCTAATTGATCTGGTCGTTACTTGAAGATCCATAGTAATTTCATAAACTACACCTCACGATTTGATCTCCACAAACTATCACATGTTTCGCTAACACACTAGCTTCTTCAACAGTAATTTGAATACAGTATTCACCAGTTATTTGAATACTGTATTCAAATCACTGTTGAAGAAGCTACTGTGTTAGCGAAACATGTGATAGTTTGTGGAGATCAAATCGTGAGGTGTAGTTTATGAAATTTTAAATATATTTTGTTAATTTGCTGTTTCAATAATAATTTAAGTGTCCTTTGAATATTAGGGTATCCTTATGAAAAAATGATTTTATAAATAATAATTTTAAGTAAAAGTACTTTAAAATACACTCTTTATTTGTCAATCATGTAGGTCAAATCATTTATTATTGAAAAAAACTAGATAATAAAAAAAATACCTTTAAGTGATTATAGTCCTAAGAATCATGGTTACTTCATCAGGTATAAAAAAGGGAACCTTGAAAGATATTGCTTCTGACACTGAATCCTTCAAAAGATTTTGTGTTACTGGCGATTTCATTCCAACTATGTGTTAAGGATGATATTACAGGATTTAAAAAATCATTTGCAGAACTATGTATAGGTTGAACTCTCGAGCAATCCAAGAATAGATCCCCTGGTTCTACTTATGTTATTAAACATGATCCAACCAGCTACTGATACATAGTTTTTTGATATTATTGTGGTTTAACACGTTATTTACGATATTCACGTTAAGAATTACATTATTTTTGGTAATTTTGTATATCCAACATAATAACTTCAAAATTCCCAATGAAATGCGTTAAATAGCAATGAAACTAGTAAAATTTCATTTTGTAAGTTGCTCAACTGCTAAAATTTCAGACATTTCCAAATCGAAAAAACTCAAAAACTGTCAGCTTTTCTTTTCAGAACTAATCATTTCTTTTGATAAGATCTGCGTATATTCAATATGCTTGAGCATTGTTGAAACAGTCAACGAAGTTGTATTTCAACTAAGTAAATTAAACGTGAGTAAGGTTAATAGCAATAAAACAAATCAACAGTACAAATAAATTTGAAAGTTCAAAATAGTGCACATGTTGGCAAAGCCTCAATTTGTCATCTTGTGACGTCATTCTCTTCTTAATGTGAATATCCTATAGATTATATGCACTGGGATGAATGCAAGAAACAATAGCGGATTTCACTGGCATTTCCAATTCATCAGCGTATAAATAGGAATTGTATCATATACAATTGCTTTACTACATAAAGACTTGATGTATGAGACAAACGAAGAGATGGAAAGTGAATCTAAAACATTTTATAATATTGAACCAAAGCGCTACCGAAACAGCCTGAAAAATAAACCAGGCATTTGACAATAATAGTGCTAATGAACGCACTGTTCGACGTTAGCTTGTAAAGTTTTGTTACAGTCTTGTTAGCCTCAGAGATGAGCCCCGAAGTGATGAACCTACAGTAATCCAAATCGAGCATTTAGGGACCCTGGTGGACACTGACCCATTGTAGACGGTTCATGGGATGGCGTCACCCATAAAAACAGACACAAATTTTGAAAAACCTAATACATTACTCCGAGAATGGAGTAGAGATCTAAAAATTTAATTGGGTACGCTTTTAATGTAAATGAATGAATGTAATCAAGTTGAGAAAACCATTTTAGCTTTCATGATCTCTTCAAGTTTTTGGAATTTCATCATGAAAATGCAAACCTAGTGTCTGATTTTGGTCTTCTACTTTTCCATCTTGACACAAAAAATTAGGAAATCTTCCAAATAAATGAAGGAAGCAATCAATTTAAAAAATGTATTCTATATAAAGATGTGTAGATCATGCAAGATGAAGAAGTAGAAGGACAAAAACTTTCTTTCCTAAAAATATACATATAGTAACTGGACCAACATTAACGAGATGTAAATATCCTGAGCAATTCAACAAAATATAGAAATTAATACTCACTTTGTCCGCCATAATACCTATTAGGAGCCTTATTGTTGGGGTTACCGCGGTGTTTCTGATTTACAGATATATTCTGTTGCATCTGCTGGAAATTAACAGGCCTCTGTATGGGAGTAGGATACCTCTGCATCTGAAAAAAATATTTCATGTAAGAATTCAGAGTCAATGAAATTAATCCTGTACAATAGTATTACATTCACAAATACCATCTTTACTACATACATCTCTCAACTAACCCTCTTCAATGAAAAAAACCTTTGGACCCACTAAAAACATCATCATATGGTTAAGTGTATGTAATGAACAACAGTGAATTTAATCAATGTGGTGTAGACATGGAAATCTTCAATCATGAAAAGAAACCAGATACAGTTGGAGTTAGTTATCACTAAAACAGGAATGTGGATACTAATAGTTGAAACATCAGAAAGTAACTAGTTGTTTCAAACCTATTAAAGTATTTGGACAATAAAATGTTATTGCTACTCCTAAAAATGCATCAAGCTCTTGAGGTTGTACTGTTATCCAAATTCTTGGAAAAAAAGGATGGCTCCCAAGTATCAGAAAAAAATATCCTACAGGACATTACCACAATTTTCCAGTTGCATCCGTTGTGTGATTTAGGTCCACACTCTAGACAGTCTAGTTGTAAAACTCCAGACATCACCAGAAGAAGGCAAATGAGACTGCCAAAATATTGTGAAATAATACTTATGAGGATAAAAAACCCGAAAAAACAGCATTAATAATAAAACTTCAATTTTTTCATTTTATATTTAATATAATGAATAATTTATTTATATCAAATTATATTGTTTATCAATTATCATTTTACTGTAACTAAAATGCTTCATCAAACTCTAATTTGAACTTCTAGATTCGCTTTCTAGTAAATCTATTTTGTTACAAATTATGTCATTTTAAAATGAAATCGACAGGCGATATGCACATATTCTAGAGCTTAAATCAATTTAATTAATTGATAAGATTTACTCTCAAATCCAAATTCATATTACTTTAAAAGCAATAATTCCTAAATATTTTTATTATAACCCGTGTCTACTTTTTATAAGCTGCATCTTGATGTGATTTTCTTTTTAATTAATTATATCTGCTCTGCTTAGTGTTGAACTTAATGTATTTGTTACTTTTTTTTCAATTCCCTCTACATAAGCTTCCTGGGATTTATTAAAGTTGCACTTTATTTTTAAATATTTTGTACTCTATTAAATGAATTGAATCAGTTCACAAACTCCACGTTTCAGCCTACAAAGATCCTTTCAAAGTTTCCAAAAAAAACATCAATTTTGAAGTACTTACATTTGGATTTTGTTGTCCTCCGACTCCTTGATATAAGTTATACTTGTGTTGTGCTGTCGGACTGGATTGAGGTGGGGGATGTTTACTATTTTGTCTCGACTTAGGCGATGGTATTTGAGGCCCTGAAAATTAAAAACAAAAAAAAATGCTTGAAATCTGAAATCATTGATATCTGACAAAAACAGTGAGATTTGCAATATTGATCGAAACATTTGGGACAGAAAACAAAGAAATTTTGACCTTTCTGAATGAAAAAAATCATTCAACCAAATTCATTTCGTATAAAAATAGACGAATTAAAGTAAGATATTATCATAGGTATGAATTATAATAATAATAATACTTATTATTAATCTACGAGATATGAAACTGATAAATCAAAAATTATCTAGTATGCAGAGGAAATTCAACAAGTGATTATACAAATAGAAGAAATTTTATATAAAAAATTTAATAAACAAGGTGATTATGAACTAATTTACAGCATATTGAAATCATTGGGAAATTTGACTATTATTCTCCTAAAGTTGTATTAACATTAGTGGACTTGATTTCAAATCCTCTAGTTCATCATAGTTCATTAAAATTTGGCACAACGAAACCAATGCAAGAGATTAAAATTATAGACATATTCCCTTGAAATTTTTTCCTGTAAACAATTTAGATATTGAGAAAATAATTTAACTGCAGATACAATTTGTCATCTCACAAATCATATATATCTAGGAAGCTTTAAATAACAAATCATAGTCTGAAAAAAGTTGTAGCTATTATAGTAAATCTAAAATTTGTGAAATCCGAGTCTAAAGATATTTATGTAAAATAATTGATAGGTATTTGAAGAAATGGGACCATCATATTTCTTATATCATACAAATTTGTGATACCCCAACTTCTAAATTTAAATTTTTGAAACAATTTCTTTCAGAAAAACATTTTGTTATATTTTTCTTTGAAACAGTTACTAATAACGTATTCAAGGATAGGGTGGTGTGAAACAAACTGTTCTCCATAATTAAGGAATGATTAAAAAAAATTGAAAATAATATATTACCAAAATGTCTTTCAGATGAATTATATAAAAAATTCAATATAGTTCAATTATCCATGAACAGAATCTCGATTCATATTTTCTAATTTGGAAAAATAATTTAACAATCATTTATTCATATGGCACAAGATACGAAAATAAATACCGGGAGTTTTACATGTATTATACCAAAAATATATGATTTTCTATTTTGGTCCTTATGGACACCTTCCAAAAGACGTCTAAGAAACTCCTAGGCATCTTGCTGCACATGACTTATCAACCCAACAGCAAGTTTTGGATTTGACTCTTTAAGAACACATTATATTTACTACTCTGCATGATGAATCTAGAGATTAGTTTCGTGACGATTTCTGCAATAGCTTTAATTCGTTAACGTCTAAAAGTACCATATGGATCTGAGAAACAAGTATGTGTTTAAGGAGGAGGGGTGTGGATATGTTCCGATTCAATTTGTTTAATGGAATGATATCATAATTATATCAATATTATATTATCAATATGTTCAAATTATTTGCTAGGAGGTTATTATTTTTAGGAAGAATTTTAATAAGTTTGTTTATTGAACATTAAAATAAATTCGCTAGAACTAATTTTTCACTTCACTTAAGTCAAATAAAATTACTTTATGTAGATCAATTAAGTTTTATACACTGCTACAGCACAGTTTTTCTGCTAAAAATACAATTTATTAACTTGGACAAATGATAGTATTTCAAATTTCTTGCAGAACATCAATATATATAGGCAATCCTCACCTGTATTGAAAACTGAGGACAAAACTTCTTGGCTGCTGGGACTTTTCAATTGTTGAGGCCTTCCAGTAAGATCCCCCACTTGTTGACTTCCCATACTTTTCATATAGGCAGCTGGTATACCAGATCTAAATTGTGGTACGTTCAATGCTGCCGCTACTTGCATTGGGGCAGTCAAGTAGTGTGAATTGTAGTTTGGCATACCAGTGTTGGTATGGGATTGATTGTGAGTTCCAAAAACGTTGCCTTGGAGTCCATAGCTGGACTGGTGCTGCGCAAGTTGAGCAGAAGGCATTGTGGAACTTCCTGGCTGTTGGAAATACCCAGACTGACCCCCTATAAATGAATTATTAACAGAGGTTCAAACATTTTCAAGGTACTATAAATTCATGCAAAAAAATACACGAAGTAAAATATAAGTATTTTATTACAAATTACACTAAATTAACTACAATAAAGTTCCATAATATCGTTAGTAATTTATATAAACTCAATTGAATAATATAAATAAACTTATTGAATAAATGACGAATTTTGAATAAATAATAATACTGCAAATCTTTGGTCAATATATCATAACCAGTAATATTTAGATCAGTTTATTTAATATTTTTCTTCAATTGATTAAAATTATTTGTTCAGTATTTTGTGATTATGGTAACAAGGAAATATAATACAAAAATTGAAAACAAATAATATAGAAACAAAATTAAAACTAACAATATACAAAACATATTTTTCGTAAATGCATTTATGCACAACCAAATTTACTAATCATTTAATAACAACAATATATATTGCCTAGTTGACCAGCATTCAGAAAAATATTTGTAGGATATTCAGATACGGAAGAAAAAAATCAAAACCTCTCAAAGGTTTACATGATGAAAATTATATTTGCAATAAAAAAAAAATCACACGAACCAAAAGATGTTATTTAGACATAAGTGTTTAAAATCAACGTACTATTTCATTTAGTGTTTTATATTCAACAAAAGCTGTGTATTTCCGAAAAAAATCAAAGTTACAATTCAGTTGCCCCATCAATACTAGAGTCGTGTTGATTAAAAATTACATTCAACTTATTGAATTATGGACAAAGTACAAAAAAACACAATTTATGTGTACCTGAATTACTGTTCTTCTAGGTATTGAATCCACAGGCCATGAACAATCAGTTACAGCACACATAAAAGCAAATTATATGAAAAGAAATGATATCTTTTTCAACAGTTTATGTCAAAAACTTTTCACTACAATAAAATGATAGATGATAACCTTACAATTAAACACTACAAATAACCACACCAAAACTACTTAATTAAAAAGAACTACTCAAAATATCCACCAACTGGAGAGGTGCATAAAGCCAATTCAAACCCAAGCGCAATATCAATACCTCCAGGGAGTATGAAAAACTTTGGTACCTGTAGATCCAGAATAATATGACGACGAAGGTTGCAAAGCAGGGACGACATTGTTCTGAGATGGGGCTACAGGACCCCTTTGCATAACTCCAGCATTTGAAGCCAAATAATTAGCTTGTATAGAAGGATCATATGCCATGAATACTTGCTGACCTTGTTGTGATTGTGGCTGGTAGGCCTGTCCTACGCCTCCAGCTTTTGTCCCTAGTGATAAATTACATAAGTAAGCACCTATGAAGAAGGGAGTTCAAATAGTCAGCTCAAACAAAACAAACATCAAGAAAAATACAACTTACCGATCGCGCTGATCTGTTGACTGCTGGGCTTCACAGAGGCAGACATGAGACTGTTGCTCGTAGAACTAATCAACACAGTGGTTGGATTGTTCAGCTGTTGATTTTGTCCGAATTGTGCCCCAGCAGAGAGTCTATAACTGTTCATGTTCTGATACAGCTCTGGAGGCGCCTGCGCCGTAGGAGGAGGGTGGGGAGGTGCTGTTGGCAAATACACATTCTGGGTAGAGTACGGACTGTTGGCTGTCTGACCTAATCCGTGATAGTTTGTGTACTGAGGAAACTGAGACCTAGCCTGACCACTCAACTGGTCCAACTGGAATGCCCCGTATAATCCACTTTGTGCAGCAGCTGCTTGTATTTGCGATTGACTGGAATTATAGACAAGTGGAACAGTTGGCGGAGATGGGATAGCTGATATACCGAACTGTGTGTTTCCAGTTAGACCCGTCTATAAAAAAAACGTAAATTCAGTGAATCATGCAATTTTTTTTAAAAGATGAATTTTGTGTAACCTGAAAAGGTATCCAATTATCATTTGTAATACTGATTTTTTTTTCATCAGCAGAACATATTGTAACAGTATGTAACAATATAATACTAATAATAGGGCAGAATTATAAAATTTCACATTAGCATATCTTTTCTCCCACACTCGAGTAAACACTTAGACAAATATCAAAAGGAAGAGTAAGAGAAAAAAACACTTTTCACAATATAAAAGTAGACAATTACTGATAATGAGGTAAAAAATAAAAATTTCAAATTAGCATTAGCAACAATATAAAAAATAGAGGGTGAGGAGGTACAAAGTGAGGGCATATTACAATAAAAAATATAGTTATGCAAGTCAAAATTTAACAGAGTAGTTGTTATGGTAGTAAGTTGGTAACTGATAATTTTATAGACTTTGTGATTCTATGCCTAAACTAAACCTTCCATAGATTATTTCTACGCCAGAGGTTCTTTTTCTACCTTTCGTTACTAATTCAAATAGGAAGCACCCTCATAAAAAATATATTTTTCATCAGATTGGAATCATTTTTTCATTAGGTACGTATTTAGGAAGTCTACTATAACCCCAAATGAGTCTTCATTTTCAGGGTCAACCTTGTTAATCTCACTACACCACTGAATTCGCGTAGGTTTGAAATGTTGAAGTTGAAGTTTATGTGTAGCATAAACTTTAGACTTTAAATATCCCCATAAAAAGTAGTCCAGTGGTGTTAAATCTGGTGATCGTGCTGGCCATTCAATTGGACCTCTCCTGCCAATCTATTGTCTTTCAAAATGATTATTCAAATAATTTCGAACCTGCTGGGCATAATGGGGTGGTGCACCGTCTTGTTGAAAATGGATAAATTCATCTTGACATCTTGGATCCTGTTCAATTATTTCAACTATACGAGGTTGTATTGCCTCTTCAAGAAGTTGTAAATAAGAATCACCGGTTAAATTTCCATCAATGAAAAATGGACCTATAATATGATTGCCTAATATTCCGGCCCAGACATTCAACTTTTGGGGATGTTGGGTATGTATTTCTGCGTATTGTCTTGGGTTTTCATCCGACCAATAACGGCAATTGT